ACACATATATGTTGTTGTTGTTGTTATTTGCCGTCGAGTCGGCCCCGACTCATAGCGACCCCTCCTTGGGTTTCCGAGGCAGTATCACTACGGATAGTAGGATTGCCCAACCTTCCTTCCGAGGAGTGGCTGGTGGCTTTGAACCGCCAGCCTTCTGGTTATCAGTCAAGTGCCTTAGGCACTATGCTACCAGAGCTCCTAGACATATATATAGAGAGAGTATGTTTAGATCTACAAATATTATTGAATATAATTTGTGAGCAATGTATTCTGGAAAAGGAAAAAAAAGGACTAAATATGATTCCTTTCCTTAAGAAATATACAAATGAGTTTATGGAAATTATATAGAAAAAAGTACATTACACTTTTTTTTTTTTTTACTTCATACTGCAGATCACATATTCAATTCACTCAAATTCAGAGTCAGTGGGTGGAGAAGTGAAATAAAGATTTGATAAATAGTCTACCTTAATAGCTGTATAATACCAAAACAAACTCACTGCCCTAGAGTAGTATCCGACTCATAGAGACCCCTACTTGGGTTTCTGAGGCTGTATCACTACAGAAGTAGATTGCTCAACCAGCTTTCTGAGGACGGGCTGGTGGATTTGAACCACCACCTTTCTGGTTAGCAGCCAGGTGCCTTAGGCACTATGCTAGCAGAGCTCCTATCTGTATAATAAAGAGATAAAAATATGATATTTATTATGATATTAACTGAAATATTAGCATACTTCAATGTAAATAGATGCCACTAAAGAGGATGGAATATCTTGATCTTTTAAGTAGGAACTATGTCTATGACATTAATTTGCAAACAGAAAATATTTTTGTCACAGTTAGCAAAAGGCATAGTGCCTAATATCTATTGAATATGTGCTATAGGCCACTCATTGTTATAAACTTTTCTCGTTTTATAACTCTTAATTCTTACAATAATCCTAAGAGGCATATATACTTGTTTCCCCAATTTACAGATGCAAAAAACTGAGACAGAGAGATTAATGAACTTGCCCAAGGTCACATTATTAGGAATTATAAGAGGTAGAATTTAAAACCTTGATATTAGTTTGACTCCAGAGTTTCATTGTCCTAATGATTAGGAATTGTAAAAGTTGTGGAGGTGAGGCTTAAAACCTTTAAGAATATACTTGCCATTCTGGAGTGCAGAGATAAGAGTTAAGTATACAAAACCAAAATCAAACCAAACTCGCTGCCATTGAGTCGATTCTGTCTCACAGCCACCCCTCCTTGGGTTTCTAAGGCAGTATCTCTACGGAAGTAGATTGCACAGTCTTCTTTCAGAGGAATGGCTAGTGGGTCTGAACGTCCAGCCTTCTAGTTATCAGTCAAAAGCCTTAGACACTACACCACCAGAGTCACTTCAAAAGATAAGATTACAGGCAAAATGCATTTGCATGGTATGAGGATCCAAATGAGCCCTGGCACAGCAATGATTATGTACTTTGCTGTTTACTGAAAAGTCAGTGTTTTGAGCTAACCAGTGGCTCCACAGGAGGAGACACCTGGCAATCTGCTTCTGTAAAGATTATGGTCTAGGAAACCCAATGGGACAATTCAACTCCATCTTATAAAGTCCATTGAATTAGAACACACTCAATGGCAAAAGACAGCAAAGAGATGAAGATATAAAGCATGTAAGTGTGTAGAGTGAGATTTGATGCCAGGCTTTGCTTTGTTTGCTTAATTCCCACAGTCCTATGACGTTATTTCCATTTTACTTTACAGGACATTTTTGATCTGATTTCAGAAACTTGAAATCATGGACCAAGGAAATAATTCAAGAGTTACTGAATTTGTGTTGCACAGTCTTTCAGGTCCTCAAGAACTACAAAAATTCTATTTTGCATTTTTCACACTTTTCTATTCATCCACTGTGTTGGGAAACCTTCTCATTGTGCTCACAGTCCTTTCCGAATCTGCCCTCCACACTCCCATGTACTTCCTGCTCAGCAACCTCTCCTTCATTGATGTGTGTCTATCCAGTTTTGCCACTCCCAAAATGATAGCCGACTTCCTCACGGAGCATAAGATCATCTCCTTTGAGGGCTGCATGTGCCAGATATTCTTTCAGCATGCTTTTGGTGGTGCTGAAATGATGCTCCTAGTGGCCATGGCATATGATCGGTATGTAGCCATATGTCAACCTTTGCATTATGTAGCCATCATGAGTATACGTAAGTGCACAGGCCTTGTGGTGGGCTCATGGCTCATTGGGATTCTGCACTCAGTAAGCCAGTTGGTCTTCGTAGTAAGCCTGCCGTTCTGTGGTCCAAATAATGTAGATAACTTTTTCTGTGACCTTCCCTTGGTTATTAAACTGGCCTGCACTGATACCTATGTCCTTGAGATACTGATGCTTTCAGACAGTGATCTAATGGCTATGAGCTCCTTTGTGCTCTTGCTCATCTCTTACACAGTCATCGTGGTCACCGTGCAACGTCGATCTTCATTGGGCATGGCCAAAGCCCGGGCCACCCTCACTGCCCATGTCACTGTAGTGACCCTCTTCTATGGGCCCTGCATCTTCATCTATGCCTTTCCTTTCAACAAC